TGGCCCCAAGTATGTGGCTGATCTTGGTTTACTCTGGAAGAGTAGAGGACCTAGGCGGTGAAAGCGGTTCAGGATGGGCATGGACCGAGCCACGAAAGGTAGATCAACCACGAGTAAGGTTGGGACACATTTTGTAGAGGACACCCAAAAGAGTCGTTGCTCTGGTTGCCATAAGATGGGCCACAATAAGAGAAAATGTCCTGAACTACTTAGACAACATGTATCCACCAAGCTAGCTACTTGAATTGCTTTGTGTAATAGTGCATTGGTTTACTTTTGTTTTTTTATTGTTATGTTACTTCGTACCACATATACATGCTTTAACTTATACTAATGCTTTGGCATTCCTTATGTTGCAGGATGGATCGGTTCTCCCTTCTTGATCCAAGGTTCGATGAGCACCACCGGGCTCGGAGGATCAAGAACGGAGAGGTATATTCAATAATTCGTATGAAACAGTGCATTGTTCATCTTTTGCTCTATAGTCCATGCTCTTTATAAAGTGACATGAACTAATACTTTTTCATGCTTGTCTTTTTTTTGCAGGTTATGAATGTGCTGAGGCCAATGACACATGAGGCCTCTACGACCATGGTCTACGACGAGAGGTACACGCCCCTCCTGAAGCTAGCGAACCTTGCTATCGTTGCTCGTGTTTTGTCGTCGAGGCATGTCACCTTTCAACCCAGTGGCGCTGACGGCGTTGATAGATCGGTGGCGTCCGGAGACACACAACTTTCACCTACCATACGGGGAGATGATGGTCACTCTCGAGGACATTGCCATGATCCTTGGAGTCAAAATCCGAGGATTCCCAGTGACAGGAGACACGGAGTCTGAAGGATGGCAGCAGCGGGTTGAGCACTTCTTGGGACGTCCCCTAGCGGCAGTTGAGGCTAGCAAGAAACGGTGCAACAGTGGGGTGTCCTGAGGTGGCTTCATCAGCAGTTTCGGGAGTGCCCACCCAACGTAGACACCCAGACCATGATATACTACTGTCGGGCCTACATCCTGCACATGTTTGGTACGGTTCTCTTCCCTGACGGCACTGGAGACACGGCGTCCTGGATGTACATCCCGTGCCTTTGGAACTGGGAGGATGCCGGCAATAGGAGTTGGGGCTCAGCTATACTTGCCTTCCTGTACCGTCAGCTTTGCGAGGCTTGCCGCCGTCCTAGAGGCACGCACGCTACAATGTCAGGGTGCATCACACTGTTGCAGGTAATAAAGCAAAGTTGTACAAGTTTCCACTACAATTCAATGTTTTTTTCTTAACAAAAGTGATTAACATGCAAGTTTCCACTCTTTTTTGCAGATTTGGATGTGGGAGAGGCTTCCAGTTGGGAGACCGCATCAGCTTGATCCCCCACAACCTTGATTTCCTCAAGGAGACGTAGTTGTCGCCCCTACCGCGGCACACCTCTACGAGCGAGCCCACAGAACTTACCACGTGTCACACCACACGTACATCAGCTTCACCAACGAGCTGGACACCCTTTTGCCACAACATGTAAGTTTCCCACCCTCTTGGCCTAATCGAGGATATGTGCACAAATTGAGCGTCGACTAGTTGATGACGACATTGTGTACATGTTGAATGGCGCCCATATCGGCGGAGGCAAGTCACGGATCTCAACTTAAGCTCCTTGTGCACGGCAGACGAGGACGTCTGGACGATGAGGACCCCCTTATTTGTTTCTATGCAGTGGAGTACCATCTCCCTCACCGTGTAGCATGACAGTTTGGTAGGCTGTAGCCTTCTCCGCCCGAGGATTTCTCCACCGGTTGGCAGCTCCACAAGTACGTAACATGCAATATTTTGTTTGTTTCACATGAATGAATCATTGAGTAGGCCTTCATATTGCCGCTATGGTGTAAAATTTGCCTCCTCTGCATCATTGCTGTTGTCGTCGTCTGACTTGTCCCTGTTACCACTTCCAGGGCCATACTCTAGGTCAAAGATGCGTCCCTGTAGATATGTGATGTACTGTTGATGGGGATAGATAGGAGGAGGGTCGACCCATCTAGTGATGCCACAGTTATCTGGACAGCTTGAATCCTGAAAACCCATCTACCAATAAATACTACTACAAACCAAATGCAAATCTAAAAAAAGAGAGAGTTCAAAGGAAATACAAATCCTCACGGGCATCTGAAGAAACGACGGCCTTCACCATCACAGTCGTTGTACATCTGCACAACGCAATCCAAATCGTGGCGGCATTTTGGCCAATCTTCAATGCGCTTGTCGTATGATCTAAGAGGTCTCTCACGGGTGAAGTCACTCTTACTCTCCAAAGGAAATTCCTCTATTGGTTCTTCAAAAGAATCAGGACCCAGAGAACCCTCCCACACAATCGGAGGTCCCTTCCTCACCCCCTTTCCTCTCCCTCCGCCAAAACCCTTTTCACTCGAGGAACCTCCGCTCGACATTTGCTAAAACTAAACCAGAAAACAAGTTGTGTGGATGTAGAGCAAGACATGGAGCACTATATATAGAGATGAATGCAGGTTCACCATGAATGCTACTTGACAAAAAACTTGTGTGCTACTCATTTATTGAATCTGCAAAGGCTAGATGCTTCATCTGAAAAGTCTACAACCATGACTGGCCATTTGATCTGAAAAGGCTACATCTGTGTTTTGTCACTTCATCTAAATGTAGTACATCACTCTGATATTAATTCATTGCGTATACGGATACAACAGTAAACGAATCTAGGCTTTTCAGTGAGTTTTTAAATAGACTTTTCATTGACTGCAACAGTACTTATAGCCCTTTCAGTGATTGCAACAGCACAAGTAGCATTTTCAGTGATACAAACAGTAGCACTACAGTGCTAGGATAGTTAACGAAGTATAGGGCATAAGACCATCTGAAATAAAAGCATAGTGCATTACAACATAATAAAAAAAGTCCAGGGAATAAGTTCATCTGAAATAAAAGCAGAGTGCATTACAACATAGTAAAAAAAGTTCAGGGCTACATGACATCGCTCATGAATAAACCAAATACCTACTGAGTGCAACGAGGCCACTTTCCCTTTCTCTGGACATCGGGATTCTCCTCCATCGCTGCCTTCGCTCGGCGCACACGCTCAAGCTTCTTCTCCCTCTCCGCCCTATACGCAGCAACACGCCTCCTTTCCTCCTCTTCCTTATGCTCCTTTTCTATAGCCTCCTGTCTGCGTCTCTGCTCAAACCTCTCCTTAACCTCCGCATCCCACTCCTTCATGCCTTCTAGATGTTGCTTGTCCGACTTCTTGATCTCAGTGTCAATTCACTGCTCAAAGTCACACAGTGGTGGAACGGTCTTCAAGAAAAACAAATTGTTACAAAACAAATAAATAAGTAATACTTAATATCACAAGAAAATTAATTAACACACAATAAAAATTCCTCACAATCGATGCACGGAGCTGTTGCTTTGTAGGTTTTCATGCATAATTGGGACACATCCAGTACCTCTGTCTATATGTTTCCTCATCTTCAGAGATGTCTACCTTGTAAGGATCACCACAAAAGCACATGGGTCGAGGAACACCTTCAGGGAGAGGCTTTATGTCGTAGGGATTTGCCCTCTGGCGACCATAGGTACAATTGAAAGAATTTAGTCATATTAACGGAGAACCAAATCTAAACCTAGGATTTTCTATTTGTTGCACAAATAATGAATAAACATTAGGATTACCTTGGAATATGAGCTTTACCACGCATTGGCATCCTAACATTACGTAGAAAAAAATCAATCCAAAGTACCTTGCAACGAATGTAAAGCTACTAACACTAAATCACCATACCTCCTAAATAAGCTTTTCATTACAAACCCTAAGCAAATTTGAATCCCAACAAACATAAAATTTAACTCAATGATTATAAACCAGAACATATACAACAACAACCATACATTTAGGTCATTCAATCATTTGAACCACCATACATTGCACGAATGACATGAACATGAACCAAACCTATAATGCCAAGTTCAAAAAAAACACAAACCATCGAATCTAAATGGATGAAATGAAAGAGGGGTAAGAGGAGTACCTTGGCAAAACGTCAAAACCCTCGATCTGGCCTCCCAAGAGCTGGATTTAGGATTTAGGGTTCGTGGGAAGAGAGAGGGAGTGGGAAATGGCCACCTGTTGGTTCTGAATGGAGGGAGGAGGAAGAAGGGGGCCGCGGCGCGGGCTCAACTAACCGAACCTCGGCGTTGAGTCGGGCCGTGCCGAGGTTAGCGTCTCGGCGTCATTTGATCGTACGTCGACCTCTTGGCCCACGAAGCGTTGTTGGGCCGCTTGGGCCGCGCACCGGATGGTGCCAAGAGCTCGGCGTGACTCCCCCACAGCGTTGAATTTAGGCCTGTGGCGTTGGCTGACACGACGCCGACGTACTGGGCCCCATGCGCCAGCCTCGGAGTCGTCGATGACGTGGCAAGGAATCGGCGTCGTGTCAGTCGACGCCGACCTTCATACCTCGGCGTGATTTCCTAAGACGCTTAAAAATGGTCTATTTGTAGCAAAAGTTTTGGCAGAGGTCTTTTTGTAAAAAATATTTTAAAAAGAAACCAAAATGCAAAAATTTCACGTCTATGTCTGCATACATGCTTGCAGGGTCTGCAAGATACTATACAAAAACTATTTTTTTTACCACAAGCGACATATCTTTTGTCTCTTTAACACTAATAGAGAAAATATTTTCGATTCAGCACACAGTCTCGACTAGAATTGGACTCGAAATTAACGTGAGTCCAGGTTGCTGATAGAGACCCCAGATATTTATACACACAACTTATGGCAGAAAGCCCGTGTGTCATCGCAAGCATTATCGCCTGCACACGCGGGCACGGCAGTTGGCTGCATTATCGCCGATACCTTTTCTGTTCGGCCTTTTTCGTCACCTGCGCGCCCGCTCGTCGTCGCTACTCACTAGTCGCTACTCACTACTTCACTCTCGCGCGGCTCCTCCGGCACCGGTGGCGCATCTCCATTCCGGCCGGCATGGCGGGAGGCTGGAGCGGGACCGAGGAGTACACGACGGACGAGGCTCTGTCGCGGCTCGGCTTCGGCCGGTTTCAGGTGCTCCTGCTCGGGTTCCTGGGCACCGGCTTTGTCGCTGAGGCTATGGAGGTCATGCTGCTGTCCTTCGTGGGGCCATCAGTGAAGGAGGAGTGGGGGATCTCCGGCGGGGCAGAGGGCCTCATCACCAGCGTTTTCTACGCCGGGATGCTTCTCGGGGCGTGCGTCGGCGGCCTCGCTTCAGACAGATACGGTAGACGGTATGTTCAAAACTTATATTCTAAAGAATTCACTTCAATGCCGCAGTAAAATTCTAAAGAATTCACTTCAGTGGCGCAGTAAAATTGATGAAATGGGCGCGAAGATATTGAAATTCTTGCGATAGATGTTTTGTGAATTGTGATCCATGGACATGTGGTAGAAGAAATAGCCAAATAATTATTTATATCGGTCCAGTCACTCTGTTGTCGTTGGAACTTGGAACAAAGAATGAACTTGTTACATGTCTGTTAGAGTATACTAGGATATCTTCGGTTTTCAAATATGGTAGATCAGGATGATGATTCTGGCTTGTCTATCTCCAAAGGAGGCTGGACATTCACCATGCCTCTATGCAACATACTTTAATTGGAAAATTTAACCGTGGCATCCCTCCTTTTAAGGAAATCTCAAGTAACAAAACAGGGGTACTAGAGTCATTTGTCTCCTCCACTAATTTGTCTGAGAAATCCTAGAACATCAAGTTTTTTGGGACGGAGGGAGTACTTTATATAATCCGCCCACAAGGCTCAGCAATACAAGCAACAATCCTATCAATCTATTCTCTCCCGCCTATAATGTCTACAAAAACCTAGCACGCTTATGTTTTTGGTATCTTGACGTTGGTAACTACTCCTCCATCCTTATTTTGACCTTTTTTCACATGATGATACCAGGCTCTCATGTCTTCTCTGTATTTTTCATTTGCAGGGCCGGTTTTTTGTTCACTGCAATTGTCAGTGGTGTACCTGGCCTCCTCTGCGCCTTCTCACCAAACTATGCAACCTTACTGGTTTTGCGATTTGTTGTTGGCTTTGGCCTAGGTGGCAACCATGTGCTCCCTACTTGGTTCCTGGAGTTTGTTCCGGCTGAACACAGAGGTTCCTGGGTCGCTGCTTTTACTTGTTTTTGGACCCTTGGAACAATATTGGAGGCTCTGCTTGCTTGGGTATTTTTTCCCCTCCATCACTCTTAAACTTAAGTTATTACTCCCTCGGTTCCAAATTGTAAATCGTTCTGGCTTTTCTAGGTAAATAGCTTTTTATATGCACCTAGATATGCCTGACATGTTTATTCTGTTATTCATTTCAACCTCTCAACCATATGTGTCAGACTTTGATTTTTTTTTCATGTGATGTACACCAGGAGTGTATAATATGCAGAATGCCTCAGTTACATTACATGAATAGGCATATACATATATATACTAGGAACAACAGTTCAACTTTTGTAAGTTTTGGATCAGTTTACTCAAAATCCTGAAGCATCTGAATTACCAATATTTGAAGAATCACTAGATCAGTCCATTGATTAATTTGATTGCTTCAAAACTCCTTTCATCAGCAGCTTAATATTTTTTATATAAAGGAAGTATAACTTCCGGCCTCTGCATGAACTAGGAATGCATAAAGCCATTAAGCTCACAAATATCTACATAAGTGGACACCAGGAACCTGGGATTTTTTTTTTAAAAGGACAGCAAAACCTTTGCCAACAAAATTATTAGAAGTAGAAAAAATAAAGATAAGTGTCGGTCCAGTTTTTTTAGTGAAAATTGGGCCCAAAATCCACAACACAACCCGAGGAACCTGGGATTTCTAGCAGGACTAAACAGTTTAAGGAGAGCATTGTCAACTCTAGCTCCAGCATATGAAGTAGGCAGTAATTTTAAAAGATGAACTTCATTTTTGGAAAATCGAACATTTAAACTGTAAATAATATTAGGGGAACCATTCCCTGATTCTGTTTTATCAGAGCAACAGCTTCTTGTTCTTCCAGGTTCTACTGGTCAGTGCCTCAGCAGTCATGACTCATGACATGTGACATGTGCATAATATGTCCTGACTCCTGAATGCAGGCTATCATGCCAATACTTGGATGGAGGTGGTTGCTTGCGTTGTCCTCCTCGCCATGTTTCATCGTTCTTATCTTCTCTAATGTAATACCTGAATCACCAAGGTACCTTTGCTCAAGAGGTAAAATAAGTGAAGCTATGCTTGTCTTGGAGAGAATAGCAAGAATGAATAACAAGGCTCTGCCTCCTGGCACTGTAACCTCTGAACCAACAAGAGGAGTCGACAACAACCATGATTCTTCTGTTACAAGGCTTTTACCTATGCCAGAAGATAGTTTCATAAGTGGTGAGGACACAAGCTCCAAGTCCAATCTCCTCAGTGTATTTCGAGCTCTTTGGTCAGGTGACCTGATAAGATCAACACTTCTTCTCTGGCTAGTCCAGTTTACAAATCATCTTGTCTATTATGGACTAGTATATCTGATCTCTGAACTAAGCAGTCGTAGGAGTCAACAAAAGGATTCTGACGTTTACATAAATGTGTTGGTGACCAGTTCCGCAGGTAATATTTTGTGCTGTGAACAAATTTGATATATGCATGATGAATGGTTCCTGCGGATTTTCAGTTTCTACTGCTGGTTCACAAAGCCTGGACGAAACTCCTGATTTGCGTGTTGCACGATAATATACTTCTCTTATTTTCTTAGAAAATGCTTAAGTATATATTATTTAAAAATAAATATCGATGGTGATTACGGGGGAAAAGACATATGTGTGTAGACCCTTACTGTTCTTGCCTCTCATTGGGAATTCATATCCACTGTTCTTGGAGTATGGTTATTGACAAAATCAGAAAATTGTGTTGTTTTAGCAAGTAGCTGATAAAGCAAAAGAAATTGTAGATTGTTAGTAACTTTAAACATTGTTTGAGACAGTGTTTCATGTTTTCCAATGGTCTTAGCAGGTCTCTGATTCTGAAGAAAGCCTTTGTTTTGCAACCTTCCAAAGAAAAAAAAAGGGTTTACAACTATTAATCGTATGTAAATTGTTGTTTTTGTGTCTATTTTCCACAACAACATTGAGGTATTCCCTAATAGCTAAAGCCACGCTTTATTTATGGCAGAGATTCCCGGTCTTCTTTCAGTGGCCCTACTGATTGACTGGATAGGTCGGAGAATGACATTGGGAGGCATGAGTTTGTTGTGCTGCGCTTTTATTGCACCTCTTGCCACACAATTGGGAGAAGTTTTAGCAATCACCCTTCTCTTCTGTGCCCGGGCTTGTGTCATGGGGACCTTTGCCGTTCTACATGTTTTTTCCACTGAGGTCAGTGCCAAACATCACTGGATATGCTGCATATTATTATTTTCTACTCCCTCCGTTTTTAAACATGTGACTTTGAGGACATGATCTAAACATCTCTGGATACGCAGCATATTATATTGTTCTAAGCATCACATATTTAAAAACGGATGGAGTATTTTTGGTATTTCTTTCCATTTGGTATATTCCCCAAAGTACATGATCTGTTTATCAATGCAAAAAGAACCAATTTTATTGTCAAGCCAGTGGTGATTTCTCTTGTGCCTGAAAGATGCTACATGAATAGTGAGGCAGATTTTAACAGAAAATCGTGTTAGATGAGCATCAGCCTATTTGAAACATTATTGTAGGCGGATGCATATATCACGAAATAGGCAATATAGCTAACTACTCCATTACAATAGGTAAATTCTCATCCCATTTATTATCAACTTTTTTGTGCAGATCTACCCTACATCTTGTCGGAACACTGGAGTTGGGTTCTCATATTTCTTTGGCCGAATTGGAAGTATCGTTGCTCCTGTCATGATAACTGCATTGCTAGAGAACCACCGTCAGAAACAAGCAGTGCTTTTGATGGACCTATTGCTCTTTCTTGCAGGACTGGCATGTACCCTCTTTCCTTATGAGACCAAGGGTCGTGAAATTCATTGATATTCAGACTGGACATGAAAACATGATGCATATAGCATCTCATCATTGGAAGCACTGCAGTTGTCATACCATCAAATTTATCAAGCATGTTTAGCCCCCGATTAGATACGGAGCTACTGCCTGTATAGACAATTGTGAATGAAACAGACAAATCAAAATTCTTCCTTTTAGTTGCTCCTTTAGCTCTCCTGCCTTATGTCACTGGCTCATGTTCAAATATGTGAATATATGTTCTCAAGGTGTATTCTGATAATACAGAGGACAGGAATGTTTCAAGGTCTTTGTATCATCTCGATATAAAGATCTTAGAATTAATAAAGCTTCCCTTATAAGAAAAAATGTTCTCGAGATGTACTTTCATATGTAGGCTAGTTATATGGCACCAGAATATGTAGGAGTACTGCACTTAGGGCCTATTTATTTTTAGGACTGAAACCTGCCTGGCTCAAACAAGGATTTCTCAGATGTTGGTTGTTGGTGGTCTGAGGTCCAAATCCTTACTTGGCTACAAAGCTGCCTGGCAGGCAGCAAGCAAATAGGTCATTTCCAACCAAATAAGTGCAGGGCTGCAAGATAGAGAAAAAAATAATTCTATAGGGGTATTTTTCAGATAAATTCATGTTTTTTATATAATTACTTTCATTAAACTTAACAGCGCCTCTAAAATAGGACAGCTGAGGATGTGGTTCACTTTTGTGCAAGTACAGGATGCATCTGAAGTTGGAGCAAGCCTAGCAAGGTAAACTAAACTATGAACAATGCTGCCATTGTGCATTTTGGATGGATTTCAGGGTTGTACGTCTATTTTGGGCTTGTGGCCATACGCTGACTTCATCTCAAACGATAGTGAGTTACTCATTAACCTTCATCCCATTCTGAGGGTTCAAACATATGAGAAAACATTTTAACCAAGCTCATATTCAGTCATTGATGGATGAGGGACTCTCATTCTTCATCTCTCCTAAACCCCTATATGCCGCAGGAGCCCCTCGTCCTTCCCCTACTCCATTCTCTTCTCTCGTAGAGCTGACAAGGTGGGTCGATGAGTAACGTCTATGATAATCAGCCTGTTCGGGAGGCCGTATCGTATCGTGGATTATTTACGGCTGGCTGGTTTGATGTGAGAGAAAAACACTGTTCCCGGCTGTAAATTTACGATCGTTTACGAGCAAGCGAACAGGCTGAATATAGTTTTTCGCGATTGTGTCTTTGCACATTTTTTCATTAAGATAGAGTAGAAATGAAATGTTCATAATAATATAGTGTAAAGTAGAAAAAAAAATTAAGAGATTGGTTGGAAGTATGGGACGAGTTTGGTTGGAGTTGTTAGCAAAATCCTGCTACGTCACTGCGACTTAACAAAACGTTACAAAGAAATAAATGGGGTCACCTCGCCACTGCCGCCGCGCGCCACCCGCGCCGCTCTCCCACATCGGGCCTGCCGGGTCGGTCTGCTGGTGGCTGATTGGTCTTGGTTTTTTAAGAAAAAAACATTATTGGTTGATTAACGGCTGAGAAAAAAACGAAGCGAGCGCGCCGAGTCCTCCGCCCCCCGCACGGACGCACACGCACCTAACCATTCCAAGTCCACCACGCGAACAGGCTGAGTCCTCCGCCCCCCGCACGGACGCACACGCACCTAACCATTCCAAGTCCACCACCTCCTCTTCGCCTCTCGTCGCTGCGGCCCGCGGCCATGGTCTCCCTCCGCTTCCCCACCGCTGCCATCCTCCGCCTCCCGCCAACCCAGGCCCCCAACGGCTTTGCCATCGCCGCCACGGTTGCCGCTGCGGCCGCGGCCGCAGCTGCAGCAGCAGCCAGCTTGACCCTCACGGCCAAGTCCGCAGGCCGGCCAGTCCCGCGCCCTGCCCCTCTCTGGGCCTCCCTCTCCCTGGCCGACGGGGCGGCCCCCGGCTCCGTCGAACCCCGGACCGGCGTGACATTCCCCATCGAGGCCGCCGCTGGGCGCCGCCTACTCGGCATAGGCCTCCGGAAGACCAGCGTCCTCGGGCTCAAGTCCATCGACGTCTACGCATTCGGTACTCCGCATTTCCGCTAAAAACGACATATTGGATCTCTCCATCGTCAGAAAAGCGCTATAAAGAGGAGATTTTGAAATGTTGCTTTGTAGGCGTGTATGCGGATGGCAACGATTTGAAACAGCAGCTGAAGGAGAAGTACAGTAAGTTCTCGGCCTCGGAACTGAAGGAAAATGCTGAGCTGGTCAACGATACGCTAGAGCGTGACATACGGATGACGGTCAGGCTGCAGATTGTTTATGGGAGGCTGAGTATTGGCTCGGTTCGCAGCGCATTTGAGAAGAGTGTGGGAAGTAGGCTTCAGAAGTTCGGTGGACATGACACCAAGGAGTTGCTTCAGAGGTAATTGTATTTCAGGTCCCTTTTGGTTATGGCTTTGTGGGAGAAATGCTGAAACTTCTTTTAAAACCTGTTCTGATAAGCTTACCGCGATGCTTTCATTAACTTTTTTTTTCCGAGAATGTGCGTAGCACATGTTTCATTATGAAGAAGTCAGAGAGTTTACACGACCAACATCACGTCACGGCGAGATGCCACAAGTGATGTGGTTGAACACGTACAAAGGTCACCGCTAGGCGGTGGAACGTAAGCTGTTGTGACTAACTAAGAAACTAATTGTGTGACCTGAGAACTTGCTGTGTGCTGCCCGCTCGGAGACAACAACGAAGCGACGCTGAGCCGACAGCGCTCAATCCGACACCTGTGCCGCCCGGCCCCTGCGCGCGCTCTTTGTCGGAAAGAGCTCACGCATGGCTGCCTGCTTGGTCTCTGATAGCGGCTCTGCGAATGTCTTGTGGAACCTATCCGCAATCGATGCATCAGGCGAGTTGAGGCTCCGTTCCTGGTTGCGCGGCTTCCACTTGCTAAGCAGGACTTTTTTGGCTTGTACCTCCGGCTTCGGGTCGCGGTAGCCAGACTTTGCCGCGAGTCTATCACTCCGACGGGGGACGAGGGAGGAGTCGGCGTGTCTGGACACACGAAGGCGCGGGGGCGACTTGACAAGGGCTTCCTCCAGCGGTAGCCTGAGCGAGTTGATGAAGTCAGGCACGGGCATCTTCATTGCCTGGGACGGCGACCCCGTATTCTGCGTTGTAGGCGATCTGGCAAAGTGCAAATGTCTTTGCTTCCCATAACATTGTGTAGTGTCACGATCTCCAACCTTTCTTTATGGCTTAACTGAAGAAACGGACCACACAGCGCATTCAGCTTCATATTGATTGATAAAACTGAACTCACATCATATCCATCTCCACAGACACAGATCTTGAATGGGTTGTTTGGAGTGGAGCACAGTAAATCTTGTAGGAGTACATACATTCCTCCAAATTCCTATTGCATCATCCAAATACAAACATGAACCTTATACTTATATGCCATGTGCATTGTGCAATCTTGTTAATTACTTTCTCCAATTCCAAATGTGGGTTATTTTAGGATTTTAATTGGGTCCAACCTCTTTAACTTGAGCCATCAGTATATAGAAAGTGACGTAATTTGACAACACATGGTTACTGTTACTAGATTCGTCATAGGCTTTCATGGTATATAACTCCCCCTATTTAAAATAGTATACTTTTACATAAGTTGCAAATCCTAGTGCCATATTGGAGACTATGTCGATGTCCTAAACAACTTATGCTTGGAACAAGAGGGAGTATTTGTTGGCTAATTGTGATTCTTCTATTGCAAATGGACTTTTCATGTTTCTCACAGTATACTTTAGAACAATATGATTAATCGATATGATTGCAAGAATGTGGATACTTGTCCCTAGCCTCTGTCAATGGGACCTAATAAGCTAGTGAGAACTGAGAATGTCAGGATGCTAGATGCTAATACTAAACCATTCAAAATTATTAAGAGTTACTAGCTGAGAAATTAAGGAGCTCTTTAGGGAAATGATGCTATTATATTACTTCTATTATTGTTTCAAAAATATTACTTCTATTATTATTATCATATATTGAAATTCATAAGTACATACATCAAATTTATACCTTGTTCTTCCGCAGCTTTGTTGCACTTTTCAAGGATGAATACAAATTACCAAAGGGATCTGTGATTGAGCTTTCGAGGGAATCAAACCATGTGCTTAAAATTTGCAGTAAGTTCATTTCATTTTCAGCTTGCATTTCTCTTTTGTTGGTTTCAGTATTTAGGTGGAGGGAAGACAGTATTTAGACAGCTTGAAAGATGTATTCATGTTGCAATTAGTATTCATGTGTCCCACATTTGAGTACCTGGCAACATTATTATATTATTTGTTCACACAGTTGCTCATATGTTAAATCAGATAGTCTGACTGCAGGGAAATAAAGTACTTATCCTATTATCCAGTTACCCTGTTCCAAAACTTAGGAGATGCCCTTATTTTTCTAAATGCTCGATGGGTTATGTATAGCAAACATCCGACTGATATTATGTTCCAAACCATCTAAATTTTGAACTGAAATACTGCATAATCCAATCAGAAGCAGTTGAATCAGCTACTGTAATGCTTCACCTCCTCCATCCTGCACTCTTTCTCACACAAATGAGAACTCCTGTTGCCACTGATGTCCCACCACACCATTGTGCATTTGTGCCTCTGCCTCCGTCACGGCTACCATATGCTATGCCTGCACCACTCCCCGCCACTGCATATTTCCTGCCCTTCCGGTCCACCTCTCTTGCTTAGCCATTACCACCTCAGCTGAGCCACTTCCATCAACGGCTGCCTGGCATTCCATCAGCAGTCGTCAATGAGCCTAGCTTGTACTGTTGCTACCCACTCACCTGCTGCATCCATGGCTTGCATATGTTCATTTTCATTTGATTTTATAGCAATTGCATACGTTTCTCCTAAAGAAAAGAAATGGCAAGTATGAACATTAAACCTAGTCTCCTACAGCTCCAAAGGTCATCGATGTTCATTATTAGAAGATTGTGTAATGGCTTGTCTACACATTACACACTGATGTATTCGTTTATTTTTCTATTCCTATCCATTTCAACTGGTTATGAATTTCATTAAGTAAAATGCTTCGTAATGCTCATGATTAAGAACTCTTTTCTTTATGTGTGTAGTTGAAGGCGAGGAAGTGGGGAGCATTCAGAGCAAGCTCTTGTGCCAGTCTCTATTAGATCTTTATATTGGAGATGACCCCTTTGACAAAAATGCAAAAGATGATATCCATCAAAATATAGCTAGCATTCTTAAAAGTTAAATGGGATGCTTGAGGTTACATGGAACTGGGAAAGAAGATATTTTAATTCCAGCAGAAGTCATATGCGAGCATTCATAATCATATCTGTGCCCACTGTTATTTTTCTATTTGCTTCTGCTTCTGGAGTTGAACTTCCTTCCATAAAGAAGGAAACAGAATATTGCTGCGCGACCCAGGTACTACGTAAGAGAAGTTTGGGCATTCAAGTCGGGTTGAATTCTGTTGTTGAGAATGCTTCCATTCGCTGACTGCTGGCGGATGGTACCTCCTATTTCACTGCTTAGCTTTTGCAAGAACAAGAATGCTTGCTCTGATTCCACTGTTTTTAAGTATATGGTCTGATTTCTGAACATGCGGCGCTCATGTTGTGCTGACCCTGTACTCTGATGATTTGCATAGAAACAGTTTTTTAATTAAAAACAAAAGAGAAATCTTCATCTGCCAATAGCTGTGAACAATCAGTTATAACATCTGCCGAAGTGTACAGCGACATCACAGGAGGTAACCCAAAAAATCCAATTTCCTCTGCTCTGAGGCTGCTTCCTTCGCCTGAAGGTGACTTGCACTAGCAGACGACCCCGGTTCCTTGCGACTGACGCGCATGATGCGGATACGCTTTCGGCGACACGGATTCCACGAGCCTCCCAGACCAAACGGATCGATGCCTTTCCGCCCAAGAACGAGAGGTGGCGACCGGCCGGCCGGGGCGGGGATGCAGAATTGGAAGATGGACGCCATCGTCACGCGGCTCGCGTCCTCCACTCGTCGGTTCTCAGCGCGGTTTTCTGTCGCTTCTCGCGTGCACGAAATCTCCCTGCCGTTGCTTTCCGCAACCGGGGGATCAGCTCCTGCGACCCCGTCGTTGCTGGAATGCTGGTTGCCTCTCCAAGTCTCCTCTCCCTCCGAGGGTAACGACGGACACCAATGATGGCGAAATTGCAATGTGGTCACAGGCTCACAGCTCGATCGAAAGATAGCATACCACGTGAAAATGAAAAACAGGACGTGTTGTTATGGACATGTTGTACCTTGTGTGTGGCGATTAAGAAATAACAAGGTGTGAGGACGAGGTAGCAGGTTTAAGGTCGACCTCAACAAATAGAGAGGAGGCTCGAGGTTGAAAGTGATCTTACGAGATAAAAAAAAATGAATTTCAGAAGAGGACGCCATCGCTGAGGCCACGACGTAACTATCAGGTGTAATTGGTGTCTTCCTGGTTTGGAACATTGGATGACAATGTTTCATTTGACCACAGATTAAAAAAAACATTTTTTTTTCCGAGTGGCCTGTAATGCTTTTGATTGGCTTCTAATGATCACATTAGATAATGAGAAAGTTGAGTGCTACTAGTATTGCAACTTATCTGTACAATTTCTCTAGAATCAGGGTATCAAAGAGCTAAACCACTCGGACTTATGTTCTGTTTGGCAAAACTCTGAAAACTAGGCATTTGTAGCTCTAAAAAATCTTAAATATAAAGTTAAAGATATGTCTAGAGCATTTAGATCGATCATTTTGCTTATAGTTTAGACTAATTATAATATTATATAAACAATTATATTGTAGTATAAATTGTGTATATCCAACCTGAATCTCAAAACTAAAACTATCCATCGCAGACGATGAAAGCTACTCCAAACCGGCCAGCTTTTGGTCCAGCTTTTACAATTCACCAAGACTCAGATTTTGTAACGATCCCATAAACTAATCGAGATGTTCGAATATACATCCTTCTTGGAATGTACGCGAGTTATTTATCACAAATCTATAGTCCAGTCGTCAGCACCTGCAATGATGACATGGCTCGACCCTAAAGCAGTTTTCTAGTAGCACAAAGCATTATTTCCACTTTTTTAAAAAGAAAAAGAAAAAGGTTAGCAGCAGCTCATAAACTCCTTCCCGAATTGAAGATAGGATTTCTACTACTAGTTTTAGCGCTCAAGCAACCACATCAGTTTTCTGCCCTCATCAGTTACCTTTGTACCCCTCAAGAAAACGCACGTATCCGTTTCCGTCTGTGACGCCTGATGACAGGGGTAAATCGTGAAATCCCGGGCACATAAGAAAAACGGAAAGCCGTTCTCACCTGGCCCTCCCTTTTCCCCCTTGCGCTCGTGAAAAAGCTCGTCTTTTCAGGTGGAAGGAGCGATTCCTCTGTGCCCCGCGCCTCGCCGGGCTCGTGCTGCTCTACCCTCTCCTTCCCCAGGACCGTGAAGAGGCGTTTCCACGCCAAACGGGAAGCAAAGCTCGCCCGCGCCCTTTTTTGGGTTCATATAGCGCCGGCGCCTGGCTCAAACACCACAGCTCGCTGCTCAGATCTACTCTACGCGGCCGCGGCAGAGGGGAGGGACCTGGAGCTGCGCCATGGGGCCTACGGTCGGCGCCGGCGAGGACAAGGCCATGTCAGGTGAGTGAGTCGATCGTCTGCGGGCTCTGCGGAGGGGTCGTGTTTTTTTGGTCCGCCCGTTGTTCTTGGAGATACGCTGTCTGGTTTAGTTCTTGTGTTTTAAATCATCTTGCGCTGTTCATACTTGACATCTGTTGTGTGGAATTTTGGAAATCGTTGTTGCTGCTCGAGCTGCGAATGCGTGTCTTTGAGGTTTTCCTACAAAGTTGGAATATTTCATGTTTTTTTTTCTGGTTTTTTTTCCTACAAATTCGGATTGGTGATACGTATAACCCCTTCTATTTTAAGAAACACAGTGACTTTTTTTTGTTTGGTTTATTTCTTTTTCTTGCTCGCCCGCGATTCAAAGCAGAGTAGAACCATTCAACGAAATTGCATGCTTGGTATGAATGGTATCGGTTCTTTCAATCTGTGATTTTGTTTTATTCAAGCATTGGATGCTTTTAGAAGTTAGAACACACCATTTGATGGTTAAAACTTAAAACTGAGGTTTTCCACGGTTTTCAAGTTTGATTTTTAGATCGTATTTTGTCGGTTGGCGTCTGATTGAATTATCTTTATTTACTTGATTTTTTCTTCGAATATTGGCATCTAGGAGTGGTAATTTTACTATTTTGTTTTTTTTTCTCTGTTGTCTTGCCCTTGTGGCAGGATTTAAATGCAAATTTAGTTTTCTAGCTTGAAGACAAATACAAATGTCACTGCCACAAAGCCTCCTTTCTTCGAAAACTGTGTTATGGAAGGGTAGCTGCCATTTTTCCACCATGCGTTGCAGAACTTGCGTAATTACGATTTACGATATGTGAACCAGTTACCTAGAATGTTAACAATTTGTAGTGTACTGGATTCTCCAAATGGCACTACAGGATGAGATGAAACCATGATTTTTCTTAACACTTCGCTAACTGAACGAATAATGAGATATACTGCAGTGTAGTCCATGCTCTAACCAGTGCACTTTATATTTCAGAGCTCCGGGAAAAACATCGTGTGGACCTGGAGAAGCTAACAATTACATCACGACCGTTCAAGACATTGGCATTCTTTGGGTTAGCCATTGCTCAGAGTTTGGAAAGAACGTGTTCATCTGTTCTGAAAAAAGGTTCTCGGTTAAAAATCGCAATGCTTTTGGTTGCTGCTACTTGGGTTCTGCTCTTGTTCACTGATGGCCTGCATGAAAAGGTACCAACTTTTTTTAAATTAATCCGAACATCTGTGTTTCACTAGATTAAGAACAGTCTGAGTAATGTTGCAAGAAAGCTTTGCCCTTTTTGTATTCTGTTTGACACGAGTATCTGAAAGTGGATGAGAAACTGCAGTCTGTTTTTTTACTCTTTACTCTTTAGGCTGCTATATTTCGGGAAGCCCTAAAACTATCTGCCATTAGCAAATTTGCTTGCATATTGTTCAAGAGAATTTCATCTACATTGCTATAGCTTGGTCATCTTAATAATAGTTTGCTTCCCATATCTCCCATTGCATGTCCAATATGCAGCTTGGATAAACATGGTATGTTGTCATTGATGCAGCATCTACAGGAGCTACTTTGGTATGTCAGGTTTGGATTGTGGTGGATCATACTAGGGGTTGCTTCATCGATTGGATTAGGTAACTACAAATAGTTTCAGATGTGGTGAAATTGTGCATTAGGAGTTTAATTAGTTGATTTAAATATAACAAGAGTTTCTGCTTACACTGTACTTATCTTGCAGGTTCTGGTTTGCACACTTTCATAATGTATTTAGGTCCCCATGTAGCCCTGTTTACTATCAAAGCAGTTCAGTGTGGTAGGGTTGATTTAAAAAGTGCTCCCTATGACACTATTCTCCTTAAAAGGAGCCCATCCTGGTTGGAGAAAGACTGTCTGCAGTTTGGACCCCCAATTTATCATGAAACAATTCCATTCAGCAAAATACTGCAAGAAGTTTGTCTCGAAGCTGTTCTTTGGGGCATTGGAACTGCACTTGGAGAGCTTCCTCCATATTTTCTCTCAAGAGCAGGTTTTGTTCATACTGCTCTGCGTACTAACTTTAGCATAATTTACTTGATTATTACAGCTGTTTTCTCTTGCTTGTCCACTTGATCCACCTCTTCCACTTTGAATCATTGCCTCATCAGTTGTCAAAGGGCTAAAAAATACAATTCTACCTCCTGCCTATTTTAATGATAATAATACCACCTTTCATTGAAGCATACTTGTGCTAGGATTTCCTGGCCAGAGTAGCAAACTAAAATTATGTAAGAGTCTGCTTGTTCTTTTTAGATGATGGAATAGAAATATCCCAGCCTCCACATTGTGAGATGCTTCAGCCGGTCCTTATTAGAATAGGTGCAAAGGCAGTAAAAAGAAAACAAAATGCTTAATAACAGCGATCCACAGCCATTATAAACAAAGTCTGCTGGTTCTGTAACTAAAGAAACAAATATAAGTTATGTTTTCAAGAAAAAAAATAAGACATGCACAAGAGAATGCATCATTTTTCATTAAATACTTTTTTTCCTTGTCTCCTTTTAGTTTTGTAGATATAAACAATGATGTCTTCATATTGTTATACATATACATGAAAATGGTAACCATCTTATTAGCTTATATCACAGGCTAAGTCCCCCTTCTACTAAGAAATTGAAATCATTTATGACCCATGGGGCTTATATAGGTATCAAAGGAATAGTGAGCTTGTTCTATCCAAAGAGTTTTACAGCTCTCCCGCCAGCAGGGTTACCTCGCTTACAAGTTAAGCACAACAATCCATCATATTAAGTTAAATTTAGGATCAAATGTACCTTACAAGATTGTGCCATTGGTTAAAGGCATCAACTTGAATGATGCAGTAAGCCCGTTTTTTTCTAAGTATGTGTTATGTTGCTGACTCCTTTTAAATAATGAACCACAGCTAGCATGTCAGGCCGTGTAATTGATGGGTTAGAAGATTTGGATGCTTCCATTTCAGAAGGTTTTCTATCATCAACTTTACGTCAGGCCAAACGATGGCTCATGTCTCATTCACAGCATTTAAGCTTCACTCTAATATTGCTACTTGCTTCGGTTAGTATCATTCTTAACATTTAAAATTTGTTTGTTCAAGTCATATTTTAGTATGTTGCATTTTTACCCTACTTTTGCTGACTTGCCTTGTAGCACCTTGCCAATTTAGGCTGTAATAAGGTGAAGGCCCATTTAAATCATTGAAGAAACTCACATTCACTCTTTGCTGACAAAGGAAACATTTTAAAACTTAGACATTTGCTTGACTTATTGTTAAATCTTTTGAATTTTTTGGTCTCACCGAAGTCTTATACTTATTGACATATATTATTCCTTTCCTTATGAGATGTATAACATGGAGAAACTGTATAACTATTTCTTCTGTCAGGTGCCAAACCCTCTATTTGATCTTGCTGGTATGTTGTGTGGACAATTCAACGTCCCTTTCTGGAAGTTTTTTCTAGCAACTTTGATTGGAAAGGCTATCGTTAAAGTTTGTATCCAGGTTCGTCAAACTTCTTGGTGCAATTCATATATTTGCATTCTGCTGTGAATTGTAGTCATAGTATCATGCAGATTTCTTCTCATCTCCGTTAAGCCAACTGACTATCATTTACAAATCACTTATGTAGACTACATTGGTGATTACTCTCTGCAATAACCAACTTCTTGATTTGGTGGAGAAAAGGCTTATATGGGCATTTAGCAATGTTCCTGGAGTGGCATCTGTCCTTCCATCTTTAGTTTCCAAGCTGAAGATGGCCAAAATTAAGTTTTTATCAGCCCATGTTGCTGCATCAGCTTCTAGTTCTGTTAAGGTATGAATTCCACTCGACTTCAGTTACAAAAACCGAAATTTACTGCAGCCATATGCTTCACTTGCCCACTGTAAAGTGATCTGACGGTAGTCCTTAGGACGGTAGTTATGTTTCGATATTTTTCCATTGGCCATGTAAATACATTTTTTTTAGATAAGGGAACAAAGTTTCAGCCTAGAATATCACACCATGGAAATGTGTGCAGTAAGTGGTTATAAAATTAAGCTCCTGATCTGGGGGACAGTTCTGGTGCTGACATCTGGTATAACACTGAAGCTCCAGTGATTTACTCTGCCTATTTTACTATCTTGTCGTCATCTTCGTTGCCCTTACATTGTTTGAAAATGTTCATATTGCTTAATCCATGTTTAGGGAAAGAAGTGGAATCTGTCATTCTCTTTGGTCTGGAATACCCTGGTGTGGCTCATGGTTGTAAACTTCATTATCCAGATAGTTACTTCTACAGCACAGGGTTATCTCAGGACACAGCAGGAGCAAGAGATCAGTAAAAAGTTGGAAACCGAGCTTTCTGTCTCTGAACCTTCTTCTGGCTTACCAAAATGATTCAACCTGGGTACCGATCTGGTTTCTTCATTTGTGTGTATACTTATATCAAGTTTAGAGAGGAAAATTAACATGAAGAATGTGGTAACTGACTGGGAAATTCAAACTGTGCTCAACATGTTTGCTGCTACTGTTCCTCAGGAAAGTGCAATGATACACTGTACATAACCATGCATCAACCATCAGCTCAAGACTAAAGGCTCTCCTGCACTATTGTGGTGCACTAACTATTGATGTATTTCTTTCAAAAAAAAGAGAGAAAAGCTTAACTAGTGCTAAAAATATAATGCCGCCCCAGCTACAATTGTGAGTCTGTGACCTTTGTACATAGCAACAAATATATTAAGGGGGGAAAATATCTAATGATACAAGTTAGGCCTTGTTTAGTTCCTCCTCAAATCTTTATACTCTATCCTATCGAATATTTGGACACATGCATAAAGTATTAAATATAGTCTATAAAAATAACTAATTGCACAGATTGTGACTACTTTGCGAGGCGAATTTTTTAAGTCTAATTAGTGCATGATTTGATAATGTGGTGTTACAGTAATACACGTGTTAACGATGGGTTAATTAGGCTTAATAAATTCGTCTCGCGGTTTACTGACGGATTCTGTAATTTATTTTTTTATTGGCATCCAAATATCTCACATGACACCTACATATAACATTCGATGTGACACCCCAAAACTTATTCCCTCAATCAAACAAGCCCTTAATACCTGATTTTGTCTCCGCATTGGCAATGATCGCTTCTCGTGTCGAGATCTGTCCTTTCTACGTTGATGGCGACGCGATGAGATTTCTGTTCCTGTCAGTGCACACCCCACATGCCAGGTGGTTACTGGAGAAAGTTTGCATATCATGTGTTCTCTTCAGCTCCTTTTCTCTGTAATGTACCAGAGTCCAGCTTCTGACGCAACTTCACTGGAGGAAATTATTGGTCTCCTTTCCCCGTGAGGTTCACCTCTGAAAGGTATGTTGCGCCATGTTTTAATCTGACAAGAAAATTTTGATCGCAGTTTGAACTTGTTTGGCTAAAAGTACTGACTGATTTGATGCGAGAGAAAATACTATTAGTTAACTAAAAAGTATGACTTATAAGCCAAGCAAACCCAAACAAATAGGACTAGAGTTCTAGATGAAACTACCGTCTGGCGCTTTTGCTTCGACCATTTCTGGTTGATTGAAAGCGGATACTTGCTGATTGCCTGATTGAGCAAGTGATGCCGGAGGCTTTTTGCCCGGAAATGAACAGGTCGCTACTGTTTGTGATGTACATCGGCCTAAACAGCTCGAGATAAAAATGTCTATGTTGGGCCATTCTGATTCACCCTAGTACCCTACCATGTAGCTGAACATTGGACGGCTAGTGTAGACGTGTTGGGGGAGGCCTTAGCCTTTGAGGTTAGAGGTTAGACTTAAATCTGAATCGATTAGTGTGTAATCCTGATGCAAAACAAAAACACTTTGGCTCCCAATTTTTCAGCATTTTCAGAACAAAATTGCTCCTTTCATGAAAGAACAAAACAATCAAACAGTTATGCCATAAATACTGGAGTGCATACAACTGAAACGTAAAAATATAACGACCACTGCACTAGAGATGCACGTTTAAACGTCATTTAACATACTGTATGCAGGCATTATCACCCGAAGAACAGGTTGTACTACCGCAGTACAGCTTGTCCTATTCGCTGGGCTGATAAGCCATGACTGAAAATATTGTTGCCTAATTTGTCGTGAGAGAAAAATATCGTTCGTTGACTAAAAAATACGATTTATAAGGCAAGCGAATAAGACGATAGTATATTCCAGCTCAAAAATGAAAAAGGTGATGAATGCAGTAAATCCACGGCGGCACAGCCACACACCTGAGCCCATGCTATTTGCCCACACCCTCTCCGATATAAAGTAATAGTACAATTCTAGACAGTACCTAGTCAATTTTTCTAGTTTAACCAAATCGATATGTATCATACCAAATAACTATTATTAGTTTTGTGATGAAATATGTTTTCATAATATATAGTTATTATGTATTATAAATAATGATATTTATTTCCATATAATCTTAACTTTATGTAGAGCTAAATTGTATTCTTTTCTAATGGCTCTGTTCGCTTGTTTTATAATCCGTATTTTTCAGCTTATTTTTTTTAGTCGGAAGAATGTTTTTATCTCGTAATAAATCAGCCGAAACAGTATTTTGGTTTGTTTTTTTAGCGAAACGAACGGGCAATTGCCTACTGGTCTACACGGGGCATTGTCCTTTTTTCCGTCCACGGTTGATGCAGTGCCCACGACCCTACTGGATTGTAGCATAGCAGTAGTAATAGTACTACCTTCCTTCCCGAAAGAATACAATTCTAGTACAATATCACGTTTTAGTACTTTAAATTTGATCAATTATAGATAAAAAAAATATCCATATTTATGATACCAAATAAATACTATCAGATTAATTACGAAATATATTTTTATAATAAATTAATTTAAAGACATAACTATGAATATTATTCACTAAAAACTTAATTAAATGTGAACCATTTTTCGTGGCACGTAACTCACAATTACATTATTTTTAGGAGGGAGGTAGTACTGGTATGATCCTACTAGCAGAGGTGAAGGGAGAGTACAAAGGCTCCCTGCAAGCTACTACACATCAGAGGTGCAATACAGTGCTAGTACAAAACTTGTGCTTTTTTTTTGAAATAATAGTTTTGTTTTTTCCTTGGCAAAGAAAACGAATACACTGTACCTGTATTATACATCATATAAGGTTGTACAAGGGTACTGAGCTCTTCCAGTATTATGTTTTCTTCTCTGACAGATGATACCAATGAGCTCTTCTAACCTCATCCTTTATACTAGTATTTCTTATTTTGTCACATTGAAATGTTGGTATTCTGGGGGGTAACATGCCAGGTAATATACTTTACACTTTATAATACGCAGCAGTCATGGTCCACAAATGATACAATAAGTTAGCAACTACTCTCTCTGGAAGTACACTAGCGATGTTATTAAAATTTAAGACGTTGTTAGGCACTAATGACAAAGCCATTCTGGATCACTGTTTCCTCTTTCCTGCCACGCTACTCCTGTTAACTGCTCCAGACTCCAATTTTGGTCCCTGTCAAACCATTGCAACTACCATAATATACGTATATACGATAGCCACTACCACGTACTTGTAAAGTAATCGATATATATACACACACACACACACACACAAGTTGGGAAGCAGGGAGATGGGCAATTGTTTAATGATGCAATTGTTTAATGATGAGGATAATCTTGGCACATAAAGAAGTGCCAGGGCCTCCTTAAACAATGGTTGTGTGAGGATGGCCGTGCATAGCCCCAGCACTATACAAAGGTTCAGATGTCTGTTCATGGTAGCTATTATTGTAGTGGTCAAACAAAGGTTCCCAGCCTTGCACTTGCCCTAAATAATTGGGCTTACCACCAAGTATTTTGTACCTATTGGTAAACACATAAATAATATTATATGCATGTATCAGGCAAGTAGAATATTGGGGATTTGTTTATGTCACCAAAGCTTGTGAGGATCATCAAGCTCTAGTGGAGGTGGCAGCAACATTTGGGTTGCTTGTCCATGTCAATGTGAGCCTTTAGAAAATTTTAACCTAGAAACATGATCCCCAGATATAATATAACCCTTGGGCCTAATATACTATGCACAAAAGAACACAAAGATTAGAACCAATTCACATCGAGTTGCCTACCACAGCATTAGTTTATTGGCGGCGGGGGCGGTATGCTAAAGAAACTGGACAAAGAAAGAGCCTTTCAAGCATTGGGCATCTCTTTTCTTGAACCTAATTATCATGTTTTCAGCCTTTCAGTCTTTTGTAGCCCCTGCTCCCTCACTTGCCCAATAGGAAGCAGTTGAGTAGCATTAGCACATCTTAAAATAATACAAGGGGCAATAATCTAACCACAAAAATGTATTCATCCAACAGATATGGACCATATGGTGATCTGTGCTAAGTGTGTTTGATCCATGTGATCTTATATGAGTGAGTATGCATGGCTAGTGAGTAGGTTTTTCACATTTAGAGGGTGTTTGGATCTAGTGACTAAAATTTAGGAGGTGTCATGTGAGGGTGTTGTATGAGGTGTTCGGATACTAATAAAAAAATAAATTACAGAATCCGTCTGTACTCCACGAGGCGAATTTATTAAGCCTAATTAATCCGTCATTAGCACACGTTTATTGTAGCACCACATTGTCAAAGCATGGACTAATTAGGCTTAAAAGATTCGTCTCGTAAATTAGTCGTAAACTATGCAATTAGTTTTATAATTAGTCTATATTTAATACTCCATGCATGTGTCTAAACATCCGATAGGACAGCGACTAAAGTTTAGGAGGAGGAACCAAACACCCCCCTTATATGGACTGCTTTGTCCCACAACTGATCAGCCTGGGTCAGGTTCATCGTAAAATACTATGATTCGCAAAAATAAAGAGAAGGTTTCACTTAAAATAAACCAAATTATTTTTAACCATCTTCATAAACAGCAACCATTTTCTAAGCTGATATAGTATTTTTCTTATCGCAAACCCAACGTAACGTACTAGAGTTACACTTAATGGAGATAGTTGCCACGGAATTGAGCAAAATACTACTATCTCCGTCTACAAAGTTTAAGGATTTTTGGAACAGCTTAAGTATAGGGAGGGAAAAATGCATGTAACTCTCAATCAAACACCTAGAAAATTACAGTGAAATTATTTAACCCTACCCATTTAGATAACCGATGCATAAATGACAGTGTTAAATCCTGCCTGTTTAAGTGGATTATATTATAATCCTAAATTTATGGAGAAATTTTAAAACTCACAAGTTCAAAAAAAATCCTTCGGAAAGAGAACATACACACAAAGTAAAACAGCTCCCTCTGTCTAAACATTTTAGATAGTCACATCTTTCCGTACAAACTTGGACAGGGGTATAGATAAGTAC